AAAGCAGTTTGAGCTGCTGGCTGAGGGGGTGCTGTAAAGGGACAGGAGTGTGAGATTGGGACATAAACTTTGCCCTAGCAGGGTGTTTCCCCATTGTTGTGCCAGAGACAAAAGTGTAAGAAAGCAGGTGAAAGGGATAAAGGAGGACCAAGCATGCTCTTTCTCTAGGGGAGAGATCCTATTTCAAGTATAATATCTTCAAGCAAAAGCAAAATGTCAGTGAAAGATGAGAAAATTGCTGTAGGAGGTTGCTTCACCTTCCACATCCCCAGCTTTTTTTCCCAACACCCAATAGGCTTAAAAATCTACTTAGAGCATAAAATAATTGGCAAACTTATATTAACCTAAATTGTGAAACATGTCTATTTTTCTTGAGATATAAATTAACAAAAGATAGAAATGAAAACAAAGGTAGAAAATGGATGTTACTATCTGGCCAAACTACCTACTAACACCATGGCCAAATAATGCCCTCTTCTCCAAAATTATCTTATATAGTGAGTGTATGAAGGGAGAAAGAGAGGTCATGGTCTATTAAAATTTAGTTTGGCTGACCTAAAAATTATACATAGAATACAAGAACTAACTTGTGAAGGAGTTCTCAATAGGCAAAGCTGGAACAATTTGAACAAAATTCATAAAGTAGTCTGGGTTTGTAATCCAAGGCATAAAATAAATATCCATGAGTCTACACTAATCTAGATAAATGACTGAATAAATCAATATAGAGAGAAGAGACAATTCAAATAATGTATGTAGATACTCTACATTCAAGGAAATGGAACATAACCCCACACCTCAAAACTCCTTAAGTGTGGGCTACACAAAGAATATAATAGAGAAAGGCAGGGGGTGTGGGGTTATGGAGGTTGGGAGGAGATAGTAACTTAGAGTAGTGAAATTATAAAAGCACCTCCTGACCAAGTAATGAAGGCTAAGATTAACAGTGTCAAGGCATGTGGATAGTACGTATTCCTGAGACAATGTGATGAAAATGGCATTGTGCTTCTGTGGTCCTCCTCCCAAGAACCTGTGAACCCAATCAAATCATGAGAAAATATTAAATTCCAATAAAAGAGTATTTTACAAAATACCCAACTGGTACTACTCAAAACTGCCAAGATCATCAAAAACAAGGAAAATCTAAGAAATGGTCACAGCCGAGAGGAGACTCAGGAGACATTACAACTAAAATGTAATATAATATCCTGGATGGGATCTTGGAATAGAAAAATAACATTAGATTAAAAACTAAGGAAATATGAATAAAGCATGGACTTTAGTTAATAATAATCAATATAGGCTCATTAATTTTAGCAAATATATCATACAGATGTAAGATATTATTAATAGGGGAAACTAGATGTGGGATCCACAGGAATTCTGTATTACCTCACATTATTTTCTGTAAATTCAAAACTGTTCTAAAATAGACAGTTTATTTTAACGGAAGCTACACAAATATAAATCTATTGTGCCTTTCCTATGTTTTAGTTTAATAAAACAATTAACTTTCATGCTATTCATTATATTAAATGCAAGCTGTGAGGAGAAAAATTTTGACATCCCAATAGAACTGTCTTTCTGCAGGGATTTATCATCAGAGTTTTTAACCTTATGAAGACAAATAGGTAAGTAAACTTAATGAAACTTTATCTTAAATTTTATATATTATTACATGTATTAGCATCATCCTCTATGTATTTTACTTTATTACAAATCAGGTGTACTGTTTAGAGACATATCTCAAAACTTAAGATGTCTTGCTTTAAAGGGTAAGTGAAAATCTACTTCAGAAAACCCCATTTTTTCTTCCCTAGGTAGTTATTAATTTTTGTCTCCACTTTTGTAAATTACTGGCTTTTATTCAAACAAGATGCTTTTTTTTTCCTTTCATAGTAGATGTTGTCCACCTCCTGTATAAAGAAAGTAAAATAAAGCAAAGGTCTTGTGGTATCATGAAGTCAGAGTGCTAAATTTGTGACATCATCATTATTTCTGTGGCAATAAATTGATGCCAGAAAAGTGATTAGGACCGTTCCAGGACAGAACAGATGTGCATGTCTTCTGCTTCTTCTCCTAGGTAGGCCTCTCAGGGAAGTACCTCCATTTCTGCACCCATTATTGAGTCTTTAGGAATAGATATCTCAGTGAAGGAACATTTTGCCATTCTCCATTCTTGTAACTTTCAGAATAGATTACAGTGGGTTAATTTCAAAGCTGCCAATCTCCATTTACTAAGGAATTGTTAAGAACATTAGGATTATCAAGAACGTTAAAATAATATTTTTTAAAAAAATATTTAATTATATGTTCACACTGTCTATACCCTTAATGTCAAATTTGCTGCCTGGAAAGTTAAGAGTAAATGGGAGAAAGCAAAAGGATCTACTTAGTCATTTCCTATAGGTAACAGACTTAAACTATTCTCCATCTTAAAAAGACTAATAGGAACTATTCCATGGTGCCTAACTTCTTTAAAATCATATATAAATGATACATTAAAATATACATATCTCTTTGTGTATATATTTTATTTATTTATACACTTATTTTTTACATATTTATTTTATACATATTTTATTTTATACATAGATATTTATTTTATTTGTATTTATTTTATATATATATGGATGGATATATAAATATATATTAATATTCGTAGGCTCATTTAAATCTCTTATTATTTATTTTTTTTTAATTTTTAATGTTTTATTTATTTTTGAGAGAGAGAGACAGAGTGCAAGTGGGGAGGGGCAGAGAGAGACAGACACACATAATCCAAAGCAGGTTCCAGGCTCTGAGCTGTCAGCACAGAGCCTAATGCAGGGCTCAAACCCCAAACCATGAAATCATGACCTGAGCTGAAGTCAGAAGCTTAACCAACTGAGCCACCAGGTGCCCCTTATTGTTTCTTTATAGTACATTTAAATGTTCAAAGTAAAGCTGTCATTTTACTTTAACCATTTATTAAGCGTCCACTGGGTTCCAAGTGCTACTCGAACAAATAAGGTATAGTCTTTTCTTTCACAATTGCTTGCAATCTAGTAGGATGGGGGTGGGGGACTGGGTTGAATAGAATCCCTCCAAAAATCATGTCTACTTGCACCCACAATATGACCTTATTTGAAAATAGGTCTTTATAGATTTAATTAGTTAAAATGAAGTCATACTGAATTAAGGTGGGTCCTAATCCACGGCTCCTGTCCTTATAAGAAAAACAAGAACAAAACAAAACAAGCAAGCAAACCATCAAAAACACACAGAGAGACACAGGGAAAATACCATGTGACAATGGAGGCAGAAATTAGAATAACTCATCTACAAGCCAAAGAATGCCAAGGATTTCCAGCAACTACCAGAAGTGAGGAAAAGGGCAAGGAAGGACTTGGGGCACCTGGGTTGTTCAGTCAGTTAAGTGTCTGACTCTTGGTTTTGGCTCAGGTCATGATCTCACAGTTCAGTGGGTTTGAGCCCCACATCTGGCTCTGCACTTGGTGGTATGGAGCCTGTTTGAGATTCTCTCTCCCTCGCTCTCTGCCCCTCTCTCTCTCAAAATAAATAAATAAATTTTAAAAAGCAGGGGGAAGGGGAACAAGGAAGGATGCTCCATAAAGACTTCAGAAAGAGCACAGCCCTGACCACCCCCTTGATTTCAGACTTCTGGCCTCTAGATCTGTGAGAAAATAAGTTTCTTTTGTTCTAAGCCACCAAGTTCATGGTACTTTGTTATAGGAAACTAATACAGGAGGTAAGAAAAATATATATACAAAAAAAGCATTTCTATAAGGATGTATTTGGCTTAAATAGAGGCCTTGAAAGTGTTGATATATACCAGGTCTTCCACATCACAATAGTTGTCCGAGATGTAAAATTATAAAGCACAAACAGTTAAGATGGGGATCAGGGGAAATGAGATTTAATTATGTTCTCGCTTGTTTCTTAGTCTGTTCCTATACCTCGCATTGCACATATTCATTCAGCAAGGTGGTTGATCATTCCAATTCTAGGATAAAAGTGTTTCACTGAGGTTTCCAGCCATGGCCAAAAAGCAACATAAAACTAAAGACCTGTGAAATGAAATCATCAGTCAGAGACCTGATGGGCTTCCAAAACACAAGCAAGCTGCCTACAGAAGGCTCTTAATTCCCTTTGCTTTCCCTTGATTATTCAGTCTTTTCAAAGTCAAACTGCATATGAAGTGTTTTAATCTTTGAATACACAGCTGCTTCAGACTCCCCCAGCCCTTTTACACTTTTCATGCATCCAATTCATCTCTGTCCCAAGGGGCTTGTCCAGGAAGGTGACAGGCTGACTATACACCTGGGTCACAACAAGCCATGGTACAGTGGAGACTAACTGATAAGTGCTTAGCATGCCAACACCAACCCACATACATCATGGAGCCAGGGATTCAGAGTCCCTCATAGTGCGTCACCCAGGAAGTCAGCTTTCAACTAGAATTAAATTCATCTTAAATAACTTAATACGAACATTTCTTGGGTCTCTTCTGTCATCATATTTGTGCCGGTTTATATTCCGGATATATTTGAACTTAAAAAAAAACCAGCTAAACCTACTTTACGACTGCTATATATTGACATAATAAGGAAACCAAAATAACAACAAAAGACACCAGGAAATTAGGACTTCTTAGATAAACTTATCTGGGTGGCCCTTTGGTTTCCTTTCATTAGAATTAGAAAAATAAACAGCCAGCTTTCCAGAAAGGGAGGAGAGAGGAAAAAAGTGAGAAAGAGCACTCAAATAATAAGCAAGCAACAGAAGAGGGGAGAAAAATCAAGTAGTCAAAAATAGCAAGAAAATGGAACTTTAGTAATGCTAAAGATTGAGAAGACCCTAAGAAACAAGCTCCTCCTGGCATTCCATGGAAAGGTGTGAGGGAAGCACCTTAAATTACACGGAAGCCCTGAGTCATTCTAATCCCCTTCCCTTGCTGACATCTCATTCCCTCCCTGACAGAACCCAAATTTGAAAGGCCATCATTCCTTCATTGAGCAACAGCTGCTTTCTCAAAAACCAACATGAAGCAATCTTTTGATTCCATTTTTGACATTCTTACTAAAACAAAATTTCCATGGATTTTCGTTATCAGAGGCCACTCCAGGGCTGGGTTTTCTACAAAAGCATGAAGGTAATTTTAAATATTGTATTTTATATATATAACTTTGATATGTGTGTGTGTCTTTATCTATATTTCAGTAGAATTAGAATTTCTGTAGGAACCAAAATCTGAATGAAGTCATTTGAACGCTTCAAAGTCTTCATTGTAAAAATGGCATTGACAATATAAAAATAAAAATCATTATAAAATTAGCAACCAAAAGATTTTGTTGCTAGGTGAGCTCCTAGGTGTCTCCAGGCCTCCATCCCATCCTAACAGCCACATTATCTTCTCAGTAGGATGCCTCTCCACACATTATTCTCTCAGCACGATACCTTTCCATACTTGTAAGTCCTGTACCTGATACTTGGACCTCTTTTCTTCCCTTCACCCCATGGCTTTGTTGGTCACTCTCAACTGTTCCTGTATCCAAGAGCTCCTTCCCCCTCACCAGTCTAAATAAAATAGCAACCAGCCAACATTCCTTAACTCTTTGTCCTGTTTTATTTTTATCCATACTGTATCTCTCCTACTGATACATTATATTTGCTTACATGAGTTTTTGGCCCACTAGCACGTGAATGGCATGAGGACAGAGACTTGGTCAGTTTTGGTTTATTGACACACACCCAGAACCTCGAAGAACACCTGGTTCTCATAGGCTCAGTAATCTTTGTTGAGGAATGAATGTCTCTCAGTTCCACACTGTGTGCTGGGATTACCTTGTGGTATTTACTTCAGAAGGAAGAGTGACACAGACCTTCATGTTCCCAGCCTTCCTGGACTCAAATGTTTCAGGTCAAGAATTGAGGAAGAAAGATAAGCTGATGAAAGTAAAGAGTTAGCAGTGTGAATAAACAACTTCATTTTCAAATACCCCGTGGCCTAAAGGACTGCATCCAGGGCCCTCCTGTCTTATCACATGGCCTGGGGAAAATGTACTGAGGTGTGTTTGATCCACTTCTTTCAAACCATCTTGTAAAGCCTGTACCTTACTAACAGCAGAACATAGGATCTAGTTAGCATTTGAGTCACTCTCCAAGCAACAGGGAAAAAAAACTAAGCACACAAAGTGGGAAGTCTTAAAATGGCAACTAGAAAATTCAAAGTGAGTCTTAGAAAATTATGAAACCTGATTTCTAAATGAAGACTCTTACCTACTTCATATAAACCTACACCTATGTGCCAATCTGGGTGAAACACCTAGTATAAAGTGTAGGCCACATATTCTACCTTCATTCTCCTCCTTTCAGCAAATTATATAGAAAAGTTATTTCTAAAGGCCTTAAAGTTGGTGAAAATAAAATTCAAATGTACATATAGCAGAATCTGTGTTGATACCTTGTCCAGATCCCCCTTTACCAGGCCAATGCCAGTGTAGACAGGAGCCACCTCACCAGGGAATTACCACATGCCTCCTCCCCATCCCATCCCATCCCATCCCATCCCATCCCAACCCAACCCAACCCAACCCAACCACACACACACACACACACACACACACACACACACACACACACACTGACTGGCTGACATCCTTGGGTGACAAGGTGTGCTGTCGTTTATGCTGTGATATATGCCTCCACTTCCCCTCCTTTCATCGCCACAGCAAATCCACGTGTAGCCAAGGCTAGAATTTACCTGAAACCACATCCTTGCTCAGCTCTTCTCCCTTCCCTAGCCTGCATCACCTCTTGTCCTGCAGCCTCTTCCTGAAGAACATCCCCTCAATAAGGCATGGCACCTGAATCCCTGTCTCAGGCTTTGTTTGGTTCAGAAAACCCAGAATAAAACAGTGTATATCCAGGTTAGGCTGTTGACTTAAAATCCAAAATTAGAATGCCTTAAATTAGATTAAATTGAAATAAATCCTACCTCATTTTATTTTTTTTAATGTTTATTTATTCATTTTGATAGAAAGCACATGTGAGCAGGGAAGGGGCAGAGAGAGAGAGAGAGAGAGAGAGAGAGAGAAACTCCCAAGCAGGCTTAGTGCTTTCAGCACAGGGCCCAGTGGAAGGCTTGATCCCAGGAACCGCAAGGTCATGACCTGAGCCAAAATCAAGAGTCGGGTGTTTAACTGACTGAACCACCCAAGTGCCCCAATCTTATCTCATTTTAAATCCACTTGAATTTAACAGATTCTAAGTTCACAGAGCTACAGAGATATTCTATGCAAAGGAAGAACTTTTTCTCTCAGTTGACAAGTTCACTGTCCATCCATGCTGTGGCAGTACTGGGGAAGAAAATGAGCATGCTCCATTGAAAGGAACGTTTGCAATGTACTGTCCTGTTTTTTTCTTTTGTTCCTTTTCTGCATGTATAGTTAGTTGGTTTGCTTTTATTTGTGTATTTGTTTTTAATTTTTTTTTTCAACGTTTATTTATTTTTGGGACAGAGAGAGACAGAGCATGAACGGGGTAGGGGCAGAGAGAGAGGGAGACACAGAATCGGAAACAGGCTCCAGGCTCCGAGCCATCAGCCCAGAGCCCGACGCGGGGCTCGAACTCACGGACCGCGAGATCGTGACCTGGCTGAAGTCGGACGCTTAACCGACTGCGCCACCCAGGCGCCCCTTTAATTTTTTAATGTAGCAAAGTTGACTCTGAAATTTAAGGAAATTGTTTAGCCAACTCAGAGTCCTTTATTCTCATTTAAATTGTTTATTGTCTTAAGTTGTTCTTGTGTATTTGATGGATTTTAAGAGGACTATCTCATGGTTTCCATTATAACTTTATATTGGCTATAGTCGGTTAAGAATTTAATCTGTCTCCTGCATTTTATTAGCAAAATGTGAATTATCTTCATAATATGCAGGCTTGCTTCTGTCTGGTCAGTTATTTCGCTTAGGAATTTAAATGCCTCTTGAGAAGTTGGCCAATTGCTTTTTTATTTTTAGTTTACATTTTTAGTAATAACATTATAAAAAACTTCAATGAAGATATAGTATTTATTACATTCTCTTGGGCCTAAATTCTCTTGAGTGCATTTATATATATTTGATTTATAGACTACTTTCTCATAGAACAGTTAGATTTATATTTCAGTCAGTGTTCTGTTTTCACACATTATGTTAGGAATACACACCGCCTTAATTAAAATGATACCGCAGGGTGGCTATACCTTTTTTGGGTGACAATGTTCTTTCTTCCTTGCCTAGAATAATCCAAGAAGTTAATAATAAACCTGATAAAAATATACATCTCCTACATTATATTGACAGTTTATCTAATATTATAATAATAAAACAATGTTATATTTTTTTCAAATTGCCATCAGCTATGTACTCCTATTTAGCATATTTTAATTTTACATTGTTAATCTGTGAATTTCCACTTCTAATTCTATATGCAAATATTTTCCGATATATTCAACAATCTTATTTAAAAACAGGTAGATGGGGCGCCTGGGTGGCGCAGTCGGTTAAGTGTCCGACTTCAGCCAGGTCACGATCTCGCGGTCTGTGAGTTCGAGCCCCGCGTCGGGCTCTGGGCTGATGGCTCAGAGCCTGGAGCCTGTTTCCGATTCTGTGTCTCCCTCTCTCTCTGCCCCTCCCCCGTTCATGCTCTGTCTCTCTCTGTCCCAAAAATAAATAAAAAACGTTGAAAAAAAAATTTAAAAAAAAATAAAAACAGGTAGAATGATACATTTTTACTTTTCTCAGTTTCTTAATTATAATATAGAGATAACAATAAAAATTAGCTCATAATATTGTAAAGAGGACACAGCCTGGAAGGTATGGAGCACTCACTAAGTGCTAAGTCAATTGGCAGGGACACAGGTGTCACTAGTTCGACAGCAGTAAGCTTAGGTCTGGACACACACAGCATAAATGGGTCACTGAAACATCAAAGTGCATTTGAAGAAGCAAAGGCATCTGAAAACTTACCACCAAAAGACTGACTAAAGGAACTAGCATATTCTGTGGAAGGAAGATTAGATTTTGCTCCGAGTGTCCATATAAGCCAAGACAAGAACCAAACGCAGAAATTTTGGGAAAACAGGCTTTGTTGCCATATGTGGAAAAACTTCTGTCCACCTCAGAAAGTAGTGAGTCCCTGCTGCTGGAGACAAGGCAAAAGCAGAACAACTGTAAAACTGATTTCCTCAACTGATGAAGTTTGACAGAAAGAATGCAAGACTCCTTACAACTGCTACAATTCATTACATTTTCAGTAATGGAAAAACAATAAAAACTAAAGCTTGCTGTGTGTCTATTACGTGGCACTGTGTGAGGCACTTTGAGTGCATTATCTTAGTGAGTCATCACTACTTCAGGAGGTAAGTCCTAAGATAATCACTCCCATTTTACGGAGAGGGATATATAGTGGCTTAGACTCTTTGTCTTGAAGGACCCAGAAGCCCTGAACTATTAGGTTATACTGCTTTCAAGGACATGATATACCTGACTTGGGTCCCTTCAGTAATACCAGTGGAGCGGGACATCCCGTCCTTTTTCTGCAATCTTCTAACCTGGTTCTACTGTTCGGAATTCCTTTTGTTTCAGTCAAAATATGCAAGGTTATGCTATATTAACAACCAACTCCTAAATCTTCCTGTCTTCTTACCAAGGTTTCTTTCTCATTCGCGACATATGTTGGTGACCTGCTCTGCATCTCCTAATACTGGATTTGGGTTTATGGAGCAGCCACCATCCAAAAAGATGTCAGTGGCCAGAGCAAAGGGAAAAAGAAAGATCTGAAGTGTGCTGCACTGCTCAGGTACAGATGTGACACAAATTTAACTTTCACTCACAAGTCACTGGTCAGAACTAGCCATTTGACCACCGAAACACACAGGGCCAGACTGACTGATAAATGGATAAAAAAAAGATGTGATATATATACATATGTATGTATACACAACAGACTATTACTCAGCCATAAAAAAGAATGAAATCATGCATTTGCAATGACATGGATGGAGCTAGAGAGTCTTATGCTAAGTGAAATAGGTCAGTCCGAGAAAGACAAATAGCATATGATGTCACTCATATGTGGAATTTAAGAAATAAAACAAGCAAAGAGAAAAAAAGAAACAGAGAGGGAGGCAAACCAAGAAACAACCTCTTAACTATAGAGAACAAACTGATGGTTACCAGAGGGGAGGTGGGTGGGGGGATGGATGAAATAGGTGATGGAGATAAAGAAGTGCATTTGTGATGAGCACTGGGTGATGTATGGAATTGCTGAATCACTGTACTGTACATCTGAAACTAAAATTACAGTGTATGTTAACTAATTGCAATTTAAATAAAAACTTAGAAAAAAACACACAGGACCAGGAATTACAATCCTGTGATAGTTCACAGGGCAGAGAGCCAGAGTGTTTGGTGAATGGAACTAATGACCACCACATTTTCACTACAAAGTTCTCAAGTACTCTTTCATTCAAAAGCTGCTGAAAGCTCACAGCTTCACAAAATATTTTTCTTAACTACTGAGAGACAAGAAACTTTTTGTGCTAGCACAATATTGTCATGGTACTGCCTCTTTGTTTCTTTCTTTCAGTAACTATACCTCTTATGAAAATGTAGCATTTCTTCTAATTTGAATAAAAAATAATTAAGATGTAAAATACTACAAGGGTATAATTTATCTATCCACACCCAAAACGATCCACTGGAGTAGAGATAATGACACAAGTTTAATATGCAGAATTGCAAGGCATAGATTGAATTTCTCTCACTCTCAATAATTTTAAATGCTGAAGATACCTATTAAGGTGCTTTATTGTTTACAGATCATATAAATCACTAAGTATTTTCTCTCTCAAATGACCTCTACCTTCAACACTAATTCACAAAAGACTAATTCACAAAAGACTCAGTGGGCTTTTGGTTGTTCCCACTGGAATGATTGCACCTCAGGATAAGAGCTGGTCCCCTGCTCTGAAAGCTCCAGTGAGAAAGCAAAGGCTACACGTGCAGGAGCTGTCAGTCCTCTGGGCTCTTTTCCTAAACCCTTTCCTTCCTCTAAACCCTCTTGGCTTTAAAACACAAAGACTAGTGGGGTTCCTGGGCGGTTCAGTCAGTTAAGCTTACGACTTCGGCTCAGGTCATGATGTCAAAGTTTGTGAGTTCTATCCCTGGTTTTTGAGTTCGAGCCCTGCATCAGTCTCTGCACTGACAATGCGGAGCCTGTTTGGGATTCTCTCTCTCTCTCTCTTTCTCTCTGCCCCTCCCCCACTTGTGTGCATGCTCATGCTTTCTCTCTCAAAATAATAAAATAAATAAACTTTTAAAAAACACACAAAGAATAGTTACTTAAGTGTTAAACCCATTCAATTAAGTAAATGATTGATTTGAAATTTAGAATTAATTAAATGTTATATATATATATGTGTGTGTATATATATATATATATATACACACATACACACACACCTTAACTTTAATGATATAAATTAGAAATAGTTCAAAATGGAAATCATTGCTTTTGGATTTGGAAATAAAATTTCTTGACAAAGTGCTGAGGACTTTTTCTAAAAGTCATTTGATAAGCTAATTTATGTCAAACTTTTCCAGTAAGTGTGCTTTTTCAAGAGGGGATGTAGTTACTAGATTACTTCAATAGGAGTATTGATAATCTAACATCTCATTATCTGCTAATAGAGATGCCAAAAAAGTTCCCATTCACCTGTTTTAGACCCTAGATCATAAAGTTTGATTATTTTCACTAAATGTATTATATAAGCTTAAAATTATATTGTAACTTTATCTAACTGGCTTTACTCTACCAGCAAATTGTGTTTTTTTAAATTCAATTTTCAATTCAATGTATGAATACAAAGTGCCTCGTATATGCAAAGCACAATGCTATTGGGAACCTAACAATAGAATCCCTGACCTCAAGAAATCTATAATCTAGTAGAGATATTAACAGCAGGCATGTAAACAAATAAGCACGATACAAAGAAGCATGTGAAAAGTGTTAGAACCACAAATGCTTTGGAACACAGCACCCGAAGATCACTTTCAGCTAGGGAACTTGGGGACAGCTTCATGGAAGAGTGTCATAGGACCTGAATTGGACCTTAAAGTCTGAGCAGAATTTTAAGAGACAGAATTGAGAAAGTAGAGCACTCTGAAAGGAGAAAATGGAAACAAACGGAGTGTGTTTGAGAAAAATCAAGTAGTCTTGTTTGGCTATACCATAGGGTACAGTGAAGAAGAAGTAGGAAATGAAATGCAAACTGCAGATTCTTAGAGCCATATAACACTGATGCTAGAAGGATTTCAGTGACTCCTTTGTCCATCTTCTTATGTTTACAGTAGTAGAAAATAAAAGCCCATTTTCACATGTTCCATTGTTTATGTGCCCTCTGCAAGATATTTAACTTCTTGTTGATTGTGTTGCCTATTTTTCCACTGAGAGGCTCACATGTCATTTCAATGCAAGTACTTTGAGAGAAAGGTAACAAATTTATCTGTGAAATATACATATCCATGAGGAATAATTACCACATTTTCCTTTTTCCAGATCTAACAGCCCAAACTTGAGGATAGTAAATCCTTTCCCTAAGCTTTTGTTGGTTAAGTTTGTAAATTTATTTGGCTGCACAGGGGAATGAGGCTAACACACCCCTAAATTTCATAAAGCAAGTTCTTGATTTGAATGTTCAGGACAATGCCACAGAAGAACTAATAGCATTAGTTTCAGCATTTCTTTTTTAATGTTTATTTATGTTTGAGAGAGAGAGAATGAAAGAGAAAACAGGGGACAGGCACAGAAAGACGGAAACAGAATCTGAAGCAAGTTGCAGGCTCTGAGCTGTCAGCACAGAGCCCGAGGTGGGGCTTGAACGCATAGATCCCAAGATCATGACCTGAGCGGAAGTCAGATATTTAATCCATTGAGTCACCCAGGTGCCCCAGTTCCAGCATTTTACCTGAGAGGTTGCTGTCCTTTAGTTTTGCTCAGGAGATATTCCCTGCTGTCCCCAAATCCCCAAGTTCTAGTATAGGCACTGCCCTGTCCCCATTTTCATCCTCCAAATGCTACACTGTTTTCTTAAAATCAAACACAAACAAGCACAAGAAACAGAAAACCTTTCCTCCTCATCTCTTGAAATTGCACAATACCCGCCCTCCTGCACAAGTCTGCTTCTCTCCGATATTTTGGTTGCAGTGCCCTCATCTATAATAATGTTCTTTTCAGCTGTTGTTTCTCTGTGGAAGCTCACCGCCAGCTAAGGCTGTGTTTCCATTCACTTTGACAGGAGCTCTCTCCACTATGGTCTTCACAAACTCAACTCTCCAGCTTCTGATACACAGGAAAAATGAATAACCCAGCAAGCTCTCTAAAATAGCCAAAATAAAGCACAATGGCCATTTTCATCTTTAAAAGCTCTTGAAAGCTTGTCACTATTGTTGAAATAGCTTTTCCCTTGCAGCTACTGAAATCTGCAGCAGCATCTCTTTGTCCACAAGTCTATTGGTGCCTTTTTGTAGTATCTATTGCTCCCAAAGTCATCTTCCCCACCATTGTTTTCAAGGCTCACCGTAGAACACAAATCAGTTCTCACCTTACTGCTTCTAATAGTCACTTGCTTTCAAGGTCAGTCACCTCTCTGTCTGGAAAAGCCAGAAATCCTTTATGTTGAGGGTCAGTCTTTGGTTTGCGTCTATACTTCTGTAGCTTGTTCCCCATACTGCTCCTGCAGAAGAATTCTTAGATGCAGGAGCCAGTTCCAAGTGGTTAGCATAAGAGCTGTGCAATATTGATCAAGACAGATTTTACCCAAGCCCTCTACCCCTGTGCACTTAAAGTGCTTTCCGGTATATCCATCTGGCTGTTGCATGCTCTGAATATTAGCAAAAATTAATTTCCTTTTATCTGCTCTACTTGAAGCTAAGTCTTCAAGCCCACTCATCCAATTTAATAAAGTCACACACAAACTAGTAGGTCCTTACAATAATTGGGAAGAAAAGGCCAACGATAATTTGTTACTATTCACCAGGAAACATGCAATAAGATCCCCCTCAGCAGACAGAAAAATCCATTACCAACCGAAGCTGTTTAGAATTCTACATGTCTACATGTATTACCAACATATGTATTTTTAAGGGAGGCGTAAAAATATTCAACATTGTCTGCAGCATGAAGGAGAGGCAAATCCAGAGGCAAACTTATATTTCCTGAAGATAATTGCAAACCTCAAGAAACTGAAGCTAAATGAAAGTATTTATCCATTGTAGTACTGTGACTCTTCCAACCACTCATCTGGAGTACAACAAACTAATCATCCTCCTTTGAGACACATTAAGGGCTCCTCCGTTCACTCATTTTTTCAAACAAATATTAACTGGACATTTACTAGGTGCTAGAGATTATGCTAAGCACTAGGGAGATATTGGTGAAAAACATCAACACAATCCCTGCCACAAAGAGATTATTACATCAATGGTGAATTAAATTAATAATTAATTTATAAATGTAAAATGACACAGGAACAGAGAACTGGACAGAAGAACTCTGAAGCACCTCAAGTTTAAAGGATAGCCAGGGAAATGACATTGAGAAGGATGACAAAGGCAAGACAAAAAGATTTCAGATATATTGCAATAACATACAATGCTGGGTACGCAAGAACATTAAAGAAAATCCCTCAGTGGCATATTAACATGAATAAAAAATCAAGAAAGGCTACGACAAATGCTAATACAGGAAACCGGAACTCAGGGAATCCAAGGTCCTGGTATAGCAGAATAGGTGTTAAA